ATCTCGGTATCGGCAACGACACGCACGTCGTCGTGTACGACACCAGCAGCGCGGGCTCGTTCAGCGCCCCCCGGGTGTGGTGGATGTTCCGGGTGTTCGGCCACGACTCGGTGTCGGTGCTGGACGGAGGCATGAAGAACTGGGAGGCTGACGGACACCCGGTGAGCTCCCAGTACAAGAAGCCGGAGAGCAGAGAGTTCCGAGCGACCCTGAACGCATCATGGGTGAAGAGCTATGAAGACGTCCTGGAGAACATCAAGACCAAGAAGGTCCAGGTGGTGGACACCAGGTCCGCTGGCAGGTTCAAGGGTACTGATCCAGAACCCAGAGAGGGTGAGCAGAACTACTTTGCTTCACAAGTTGAAAATAAATTTCCATAAAAGTTTATGTTTGTGACACCAGGAGAGGAGACTGGGTGAAAACTGCTTTTTTTAGGTTTTAGGTCAGCACCAGTGTTGCCAGGTGAAAAATGTAGGATTATCGTACTAGAGACATAAAATTATCGTATTTTGAGGGAAATTATCGTACACCCGTCATAACCAAAATAACTAATCTATTTATGCACTATAGTAGTGATGGGTCCGCTTCCAGACCGGCTCTGCTTCTTCTTCTTTTCTTTTTTCTTTTCCTCACTCATGGAGCGGGCGTAGTGGACTAGCAGCCAATCATGGCCGTTGTTCTGAGGCAAATGCAAACCCTTCACTCGTAGGTCACAAGCCAATCGTGCATCTGTTTGTGGACACAGATGCCTTCAGGGTTCACAAAAAAACTCTTGACAGACAGTTGCGAGTGGCTGATGACAACCGATTACAACCACACATTCACGGAATGGTCAAATTATTGTATATTTGGCCTTTTTGGGGATTATTGATCGTACAGAGGGCAAAATTGTCGTACAAATACGATAATTATCGTACACCTGGCAACACTGGTCAGCACTGAGGGGGTTGTGATTCTTCTTCTTCTTGTCTGTTTATGGCGGTTGATAAACAACTTTTAGGTGCATTACCGCCACCTTCTGGATTGGAGTATGGGCCAGATGCTGTACCACTATATTATTTTACATGTTATATCCTTTCTAAATGACCTGTTCTTCTCAAATATTTAAATATGCGTGTACAAATTTTATCCCCTGATGATCTTTGCAGCAGTTCCTTTATCTCTAACTTACTTTTATTTTTACTTAAGTCACTAACTAGTAACTCTCTTTTTTTTCTATATTTATTGCATTCTAAGAAAATGTGTTTTATTGTTTCCAATTGTCCACAATGATCACAACAGCCTGTAACATGTTTATTGATTATTGTCAGTGT